ATCGGATCGATGCATCCCTAGTTACCATGCTAATAAAGTGTTTTTACTATATGTTGGATTGATGTTATATGGCTCGTTCAATGAATTGCTGGCCAACCGTAAAACAGTGATTCTGACCAAATTCCCTATAAATATCATAAATAATTCCCTTTGAGCTAAACTGACCTGTTTCCCTTACAACAACTTGTTGTTTTCCATTTTGATTTCCTCTTGATTCTGCTTGCATCAAAATTAATTTATTAATTTTACTTGTGAAAGCCATTTGCTTTTTGAGCTTTCCATGTTTTATTTTTCTCACTAGAGCTTTAAATGCCTAATAAATTATTAGGCGAGCAGTTCAACCTATTTATTTCAACTTATTTCTTACTCCAAATTGGGTTGTTTTTAACCCAACTGCTGGGTAAATATAGGACAGAACCCATATGGGGTTAAACTAACCCAAGAAGCTGGGTTATTAATTTTAACCCAGCAAATGGGTTGTTTTTTCTACACAAAAATAATGGGTTAATTTGATTTCATAAATGGGTTATATTTTCAAAGGTAATTTTTATTTTTATTCCTTTTAAAATCATCTTTTAAAATTAAATATACCACATGATAAACAAACAGGTCAACATTGTATTATTAACATTATTTTTTTTCAGCACATTACACTTTGTAATTACACTTTACCTCAACCAAAACTCCAAAGAACCTCAAGGTTTAGTAAAACATTTTTTAACAAATAATTCACATTATTCTTAATCCATAATTAAAACGCCCAAATATATTTTTTTTTTTTTTTTTTTTTTTACAAATAATACATTTCCACAGTGAAAAATTCCTCTATGAAATCTCCAGGATTATGTAGTCAGTTTGACTATAAGGATGTATGCTGCTTTTAAGGCTGTGTAGGTCACTTTTCTTCTGTCTCTCGATCAGATCTGACCTGCACAGGTGGTTGGCAGCGTTCCCGAATCCAGATGACTCCAACAATGATCACGAAGAAGTCATATATGAAGACTGGGGTAAGTGTGGGTGCTTGTTTCTCCAAGCCGCTCAGGTTTATGACTCATTTGTGACATGTTAGTGCTTGCCTTTGATTTGGATCACATTAACCTTTCTCTACAGACAACTTTCTTTCTAATCATGTATGTCTTTGTGTGACAGATTGCCCTCAGGTGCAGTGTGTGGAGCAGTATGTGGCAAACCAAACAGATGAATTAAATCTGGAGCCCACAGAGATCATCAATGTCGTGCGCAAATCTAACGAAGGTGTGTCATGCTATACCTTCCATTTATTGGAAGCACATCTGACATGTTGAAATGTAATCTAACATTGTTTTTGTTCATCAATCTGACGGCTTCTTTCCTTTTTTAGGATGGTATGAGGGAATCCGTCTATCTGATGGACAGAAAGGCTGGTTTCCTGAAGCAAACGTACTGGAGATCACCAACGAGCACGTCCGACGACGCAACCTCCGAGAGCGATACCGTGTTATCCAGGCTGCCGGCATTGTCGCCAAGACTCGAAGTATACCATAGACTAAATAAACTGCATCCTGGCAGTTCGAGAATTCCTAAAATGGGAATAGGCTTTTAAACTGTAGATGTTTGATACAGACTCAATATGGACAGGAAGTGTTTTGATGTGTCATCCTTTTCAGGATCGGAAATACAATTCTGTTGGAATTTTAAATAAAGAACATGGGAAAGTCAGTGTTGTATGGCTTGGTTTTGTACAACACAAAAGCCGCTTTGGCGCTTGTTTAAGTAAATCTCATTTAAGTATGTCCGTTTTATTCAAATGTTCAGTTGTTTTGGATCCTAATATGGAATGTACATTGTTTCAGAAACACGTGTGTGTGTGTGTGTGTATATACTGGTATATGTGAGTCTGTGCGTGCTTGTAATGTTTAGTACTTCTTTCAAGAACTTCAAGCTACTGAAATTCCAGTTGAGCAAAGCAGATGGGTTAAATGGTGCAGTCATGTGTCACATAATAACATATCACATGAACTGATTGGTAGGTTGGTACAAAATATCACATGCACTGATCAAGATGTGTGCCACAAACCTGCATGACTAGTCTTCAGTTTTTAATGGAAGCACCGAATGTGTACAAATCAGCTTGTGTTTACTATTAACAAAATGCTTTATGCTTTGGTACATTAAAATTACATGTTTTTATACAGTTGGACTGATAAATTGATATTTCCAACCTAGCCAGAAAAAAAAGTCTACCGATCATCATTTACTCATCATGTCCTTCTAAACCTGTATAACTTTGTCTTTTGTAGAAAAAAGCAAAATGGTTATACTGCTCTTTTCTATTTAGAATGACATGAAAGGAAGTAAATTAGTTTTTCATCTCTGAGTTAAAAACCCAGTGTCACATTTGAGTGTCATGATCTGCTCCAGATATTAAACACTTGTGTTTCATGCTTAGAATTTGCTGACTTCTCAGAAATGGCATATTCCAGTGTGTACACTTTCTCTGAATGTGGAATGCTCCATTAAAGCCACACCTCTTGTTTTGTGAGACTGTTTGGATGTGTGGGAATGGGAGTTGGTGTACATTAAACATTAAATACATTAAACTCTGCATTTTTGATGTAAAAACATATGATATAGAGAGTAATTTTATTCCCTTTTTAATTAGGACATGTCCTGTGAACAGTTTTTTTTTAAATGGATTAGTTTATTGAATCTTTGGACAAAAGAGTATCTAAAATAAAGTTTACAATGTTTTGTATGATACATTAAGGTTGTATGGCCCATATCGTATGATATAGTGAGAATATGGCGCTCACACTCCAAAGAGGAAAACAACTTGTGTGGAATTTATATGGCCAAAACATAATATTTGGCTAGCTTGTAATGTACATCAGTGAGATTTTTATAACGGTATAGTATAACAGACTACTTTCATAAAATACATATAAGTATTAGTATTAGTTTGTCTATATTTCTCCCAATAATATGTCTTAGATGATATTAAATGCTTAGCTTTATGATCAAATCTGTAGTTTTAATTCCTTGACAGCCCTGTAGTATGATACTTATATATTAATAAAAAAAAAAGATGTATGGATAATCAAGTAAACTTAAGTTGCTTCAAGCTATGTTCATCTTGACACATTACTATTATTATAAAAGTTATTCTTACGTAAAATCATTAAAGATTTCACAGCAAAAGCACATGTACCACAACCTCTGAAGCTGGAAATTGTTAGTTAGAATTATACTAAAAGCCCTTTTGCTTACTTTTACTTACTAAAACAATATGAGCCATCAATTAGAAGGCATGTAGAAGATTACGTACAACAGGTTTTTCAGAACAATTTTGATAGTGTTGATAATTTAAGGGCTTTCGAAATTCATGGTTAAAATCTATATGCCTCTGGCGCCATCTAATGGGCAATGTGCAGTTGGAGTGCATTAATTAGTTTGATGCGACAAAGACCTATGACAGAGCAAACATGAGAGGGCAGGAATTTATACATATGAGGTAAAACATACACACAATACATAAATTATTATAAACATTAAATTAATTACACGTTTTATATAAGTTTTTAGATACAATTTTAAAGTTCGTTATAAAATAACAAAAAGCTCGTGCTTTTATTTTGGTGGATTTTCGCTTCCGGTTTGATAGGGGTTTGAGACGGTCGCTAGGGGCAGCGTATAGTCGTGTTGCTCTTGCCTTGCGGAAGTCATCTTGATCACCTGATAAACGCAGAAATGGCTGGCAGGGTGAGTATTTCTTTCTGATTAAAGTTGTTTTGGTGTCGCACAGAAATAACTCATAATTTCGACAGTCTATTCAGCACTTACAGGGCTCAGCTCCATTCGTACGTGCTGTGTTTGCACACGTTATTCACACTCACGCAGTACCGGAAGACAAGTTCTACATCACAGCTTATGCCTTTTCAGGAAAACACTACTTTGCAGTGTTGCGGATACAAAAAGTCACGAGGATATTTACAATTTTTAATGTAGAAGCGACAGCTATTTTCAAATGTCTGAAGAGTGACTTTGGCAAATGCATGTTAATATAACTGTAGCTGCTTTCATTACAGATAATTGAATCAAGAGTGAATGAGAGTTAATATATTATAATAGATAAATGCTGTTTTTGACAGACAGCAAGGTTATTGATTTATTCAACTACCTAAATGAAAATAAATATACAATAGAAGGGTTTAGTTTGTGTAGTGTTTCAGTCATGTATAAAGATTTGGACATACAGAGGTCTGCAGTGTTTTTATTGTTACCTTTTATAAATCATTTTCATTCATTGAAATAAAGCTGGAAAAAATATTAGATGAAAAACTTGAACTTAAAAAAAACCTAAACTACAATTGGAAATGTTGCTTTGACAAAGTGAAATAAAGTAATTTTAAGTGCTAAAGTTACTAAAACTGAACATATAATATAATAAAAGCGAATTCAAATTCATATTATTAAATATTTTAAAAGTATATAAATAATACTAAAATAAAATGGGACTTCTGAGATCACAAGAAAATAGTTACATTTTGTTTTTATTTATTATTTTAAAGCAATTAGATACATTTCTTTTTGTTTGTTATATGCAACATGTAGTATTTGCTATAAGTATTAATGATATTAATAGAATTTTTTGACATAACATTAGTTTTTTTTCCCTGATTTTTACTATAATGCGGAAAAATTAATTAAATGAAGAACACAACAAAACTTAAATTATTTTAAAATTGTGTACAAATTAAAAGGTTCTCAAACCTAGATTTGATTTCCACAAAATTTACTGGTTTAAATAATTATGATGATGATGATAAAACAGCTTGTCAATGTGGTCTCAAACCTTTGGACCCCACTGTATGTGTTTCTTGTGTGTCAGGTGTCCGTTTCTGTTGTATCAGAGAAATAGGATAAGTGGGTCCAAATACACAGTCACACTGCAATATGCATTAGCCAGCATTATGATTACAGGCTGTATATTTAAGGAGATTATGTGACATTCAGAAGGTCTGGAATTCTTCTCATGTTATCATTAATACAACACCAGGGTTTAATGAAGCCCTTCAGTAATCCTGTAAGATCACACAGCATTGCTGTATGTTCTCAGTATTTTTCAGAGCGAGCATCAGCTGGTTAAACATGGAGATTTGTAAGCGTTTGAACAGGTGAATATCAGGTTACAGAAAAAGTAATGGGGGAGTGACTCGTTATTTAGTGAGTATTTGTCATGATAAATATTAGGACTTTAACAGACAGCTGGTAAGTGTTGACATAGGCTGGATTATTATTTTTTTTTAGTGAAAAGTATAATAGACACTGTTTTTTGTTACCAATTTAATATATGGCATGCAATTTATCGTGCAGCCCTAGTTTGAAACACAGTTTACGAACAGTTATGTTTGGTTATCTGTTATCAAATTATCTACATTTTGCCCTAATTGTTTTGGATCAGTATTAATAAAAGTACTACTAGTAATGATACTTATACTAGTATTTAGCATTAGACTTTAGTCACACAATAATTTATTGACTGCACGAATATAGTTTGAATGTCTGAAGTTTGTTGAGGATTATTTTTGCATTCTGTTAGTCTAAAATCCTGCTTACATTCTTGAAATTAGTTTTATAGACAAAAATGGCACATTTTAAAAATATTTTTTGAAAGATGTCTCTTTCTCACCAAGGTATATGTGTTAGTATGTGTGTGTATATATATATATTAGTGCTGTCAAGCGATTAACAGCATCCAAAATAAAAGTTTTTATTTACATAATATATCTGTGTGTGCTGTGTATATTTATTATGTATATATAAATACACACACATACATACAGTATATATATTGAAAATATTTACATGTATTTACATGTATATATTTATATTCATATAATTTATATTATATATTAATATATTTAATATATATTATAAATGTAACATATTTTTCTTAAATATATAGATGCACGTGTGTGTATTTATATATACACATAATAATAAATATACACAGTACACACATACTATGTGAACAAAAACTTTTATTTTGGATGTGATTAATCGTCTGACAGCACTAATATGTATATATATATATATATTAGTTTTCTGGATAATCCACGACTGTCTTTCTGTTTTGTGTTGTTCATGAGTCCCTTGTTGGTCCTGAGCAGTTCAACTGCCTGCTGTTCTTCAGAAAAATCCTCCAGCTCCTGCACATTCTTTGGTTTTCCAGCATCTTCTGCATATTTGAGCCCTTTCCAACATTGACTGTATGATTTGAAATCCATCTTTTAACACTGAGGACAACTGAGGGTCTCATACACAACTATTACAAAAGCTGTAATCATGTACTGATGCTCAAGAAGGCCACACAATGCATTAAGAGCCGGGGGGTGTAAACTTTTTGAATTGGATGATCAGGGTAAATTGTACTTATTTTGACTTCTGGGAAAAATGTAAGTATTTATGTAGCTTCTTAAGTGCATTACCAAATGAAAAAAATATGATCTTTAAACATAAGAAAAATGTACACATCATCATCCTGTTCAAAAGTTTACATCCCCGGCTCTTAATGTATTGTGTTGCCTTCTGGAGCATCAGTAAATGTTTCCGCCTTTTGTAATAGTTGTGTATGAGTCCCTCAGTTGTCCTCAGTGTGAAAATATGGATCTCAAAATCATACAGTCATTGTTGGAAAGGGTTCAAATATGCAATATATATATATATATATATATATATATTTAGAGAGAGAGGGAGAGGGGGGTCCTTGGCCTAAAATTTTTTAAAGACCCCTGATCTAGACAAATGTGGCTTCTGGAAAATAATAATTGAAAATGATTAATTGTGTTTGAGCTCTTGACTAGTATTGTATATCCAGGCTAAAATTTCAGCGTTTATGATTTTGGTATCACTTCTGTGCTTTTCTTGCTTTTTTCTTCTTTCCTGTACAGCTGATGCAAGCAGCGAGATGCCCGACAGATGAACTGTCTCTCACAAACTGTGTGGTTGCAAGTGAGAAGGACTTTAAATCTGGGCAGTGAGTATTTGATGTATACTGAATCAGAAACGAGAGATGTTATTATATTTAAACATACTGTCTGAACGCAAATGTCAAATCATTTTCTTTTCTTTCTTGTTTTTTATTTTGTTATTTATAGACAATTGAGCATTAAAACCACACCCACTCAGAAGTTTGTGTTCACGGTGAAAACCCACTCAAGCGTGGTGCCAGGAACTATTGCCTTCAGTCTACCTCAGGTACACGTTTTGTGTCATCATTAAACAGGCTTTTCTAACGTCCCATGACACACAGTATTCTCTGAATATGTCTTTATGTAACCACCTTTTTGCCGTCTGCCTTGTGAACTGCATTAGTATGCTGATGCAAGATGTACTGTTGTTGTTGTCAGCATGCTTATTTCTTAATGTCTTGCATTGTTTTTGCCTGCTTCTCCTTCATCTGTTAACATGACAGCAGAAAGACTTCTCAGGTACTATAGTAACTTTCTCACAGTGGTCTTATTTTTGGCATGATGTGATATTTTATCAACATGAGACCAAGAAATGAAACACTACTAGAGACACTACTTTGGTACACATTTCGTTATTAGTGTGCTTTACAGTAAGACCATCTATCAAGAGAAAGTTGTACAAATATATTGCATTGCTTTTAGCAGTAGGATCTTACAAATAATAACTTTATGATAATTGTGTGGCCTGTAATATACTAAATGCAAGATAATAGAAATTCATTGATATGCTCTGTGTCATAGAGGAAATGGGCTGGACTCTCTCTAAACCAGGATGTGGAAGGTATGTGTACCGTTTCACATAAAAACTAATTTGATTGGCTGCAGACTAATAGTGGAATAACTTAGTTAGTTAGTTTGTTCCCTGCATTTGCTGTGTGTTTATTGATTATTATGTTGTGTGATAACACTTTGGTCGGGTTGGAGAGATGGAAGAACAATAGATGGAACTAGTGAAAAATAATTACTTTTTTGAAATTTTTTTAGCCAGTTAGTCAAGAATTTAATTTCTGAAAAATCAGTTTTCATTTGAAACCATTGTCAATTAATTTTGCTTAAAAATGTGGAGACTTTAATGAATATTTAAGTCACCCCAAGAAATATGCAAATGTAGATAAGTT